CAGGTATAAATACAGATGTAACAAGACAATAAAACACAGAACCTGGCTGGAGATCCTGGCTAGAGAACCTGGCTAGGCTGCTGATCAACTGAAAGCTGTCTCCGCGTCATTCCTTCTTTGCTGACTCTGTCCAAACCTTTGGGAACCCCTAGACCTGCAGGAGGCGGCAGCCACCGAGGCCGAGGCTGAGGGAAGATGGCAGACGATGTGGACCACATAGACATTTACACAGATGTAGACGAAGAGTTCAACCAGGAAGCTGAATATGGTGGGCATGATCAGATAGATTTGTGTGATGATGTCATCTCTCCATCCGCAAATAATGGAGATGCCCCAGAAGACTGGGATTACATGGATACTCTCCCACCAGCTGTTGGTGATGTTGTGGGTAAAGGAGCAGCACCAAATGTTGTCTATACAGATACGGGAAAGAGAATTGCATTATATATTAGAATTTAACAAGAAAGAATATTGGTCTATGAGTTATGCTTTAAAAGTATAATCTTGGCATGAAGGTTAAAATACTTTATTGAAGTGTGTTTTTTTTTTTTGTGTCTTTTTCCTCCCCTTCATTCTCCAGCTGGACAGACTCCATCGCATCCACCCTTAGGTCCTCCAGGCCCACTTGGTCCACCAGGTCCACCTCCACCTGGTCAACTTCTGCCTCCTCCTTTAGCTGGGCCTCCTAATCGAGGAGATCGCCCTCCACCGCCAGTTCTTTTTCCTGGACAACCTTTTGGGCTGCCTTCTTTGGGTCCGCTTCCGCCTGGTCCTCCATCTCCAGTTCCAGGCTGCAGTCCACCTCCAGGCCCTTTTCCACCTCATCCACCGGGTCCTCTTGGGCCACCCCTTACACTTGCTCCTCCTCCGCATCTTCCTGGACCACCTCCAGGTGCCCCACCGCCAGCTCCACACGTGAACCCAGCTTTCTTTCCTCCACCAACTAACAGCGGCATGCCTACATCAGATAGTCGGGATCCACCACCAACAGATCCATATGGTCGACCTCCGCCATATGATAGGGGTGACTATGGGCCTCCTGGAAGGAAAATGGATACAGCAAGAACTCCACTGAGTGAAGCTGAGTTTGAAGAAATCATGAATAGAAATAGAGCAATCTCAGGCAGTACTATTTCAAGAGCCGTGTCTGATGCCAGCGCTGGTAATTATGGGAGTGCAATTGAGAGATTGGTAACTGCAATTTCTTTAATTAAACAATCCAAAGTATCTGCTGATGATCGTTGCAAAGTTCTTATTAGCTCTTTGCAATTTTGCCTTCATGGAATTGAATCCAAGTCTTATGGTTCTGGATCAAGACATGAACAATCAAGAGAGAGGGACCATAGTAGATCACGAGAAAAGAGTCGGCGCCATAAGTCCCACAGTAGAGATCGTCATGATGATTATTATAGAGAGAGAAGCAGAAAAAGAGAGAGACATTGTGATCGAGATCGGGACCGAGTCCGAGAGCGCGAGTATTGTCATTGCTAGAAGCTGAAGGAAGAGGAACACCTTCCAAGACAAAACAGTATTCATGAGGGAAATATGACGCTTGTCCAGCAGTTTGCTTCTTGTGATTGAACTGAACCTGAAGGATTCATGAATAAAAAAATGAACAGGATGCCAAAACCGGTTTGGCTCAGTGGATAGAGCGTCAGCCTGCGGACTGAAGGGTCCCGGGTTCGATTCCGGTCAAGGGCATGTACCTGGGTTGTGGGCACATCCCCGATAGGAGATGTGCAGGAGGCAGCTGATCGATGTTTCTCTCTCATCAATGATTCTAACTCTCTGTCTCTCTCCCTTCCTCTCTGTAAAAATTAAATAAAATATATTTTTAAAAAATGAACAGGAATAGATCTGAATAAAGAAAATTTGCATAAATGGTAAAAAAAAAAATTTCTTCTTAGCCAACTCCGTCCACACCTTTGTGAACCCCTGGACCTGCTGGGGCTGGACCCCATCAAAAAACAAAATTCACAAAAAAAACCTAACCAAGAGGTTCACCATGCTGAAAGGGTTATATAGCCCGAGAAGACAGAAGCTCTATGCCCCTTCCTTCATACCTCACCCTAGGCATCTCTTCCATCTGGCTGTTCCTGAGCTATATTCTTTTATAATAAACCAGTTGTCTAGTAAGTAATCTTTTCTTGGGTTCTGTGAATCATTTTAGAAAAATTTTGAACCTGAGGAAGGGAAGATGGGAACCTCCAATTTATAGTTGGTCATCAGAAGCACAGGTGACAACCTGGACTTGAGATTGGTGCCTGAAGTTGGGGTAGGGGACAGTCTTATGAGACTGAGCCCTTAACCTATGGAATCTGCACTAACTCAAGGCAGTTGGTGTCAGCATTGAGCTCAACTGTTGGACACCCAGTTGGTGTCCTCCAAGAATTGGAAAAATGCTTGGTGTAAAAACACCCACACATTTGGTGTCAGAAGTGTTGATTTGAGTACAGAAAAAGAAATTAGTTTTTCTTTTACCTTGTTTTCTAACAGAACATATTAAATAGGTTATTATTTTCAGGAGGAAAATTTTAAGAGAAATAAAATTTCAAACAGCACAAAGTCAAATTTCTATAGTAACAACTCTCTGCTCTCAGTCCCAGTAAAGCAGCAAATATCTTCAATGAATTCATATCCCTTTATGCTAATATAACTGTCCTTGCAGCCTCTGATGGAGTATAACAAATTTTCAGGCCCCTTTGTCTGATTTCCTTACCTCCTAGCTCTTTGGGAGTCTGATAAAGAGAATCCCTCAGTCTTGCTCCCTCCCTGGCACTGAAGACAGAGTCAAGAGGCAAAACACTCTCTACACATTGGGCTGAAATTATCAGTGCTTGACAACATTGCCCAATAGGGTTTTCTGTGATGATGAAAATGTCTTTGTGCTGTCCAGTATGGTAGCCACTAGACACTTGTGGCTATTGAGCATTTGAAATGTAGCTAGTAGTGTGACTTTTATTTAAATTTTTTAAAATATATTTTTATTTCAGAGAGGAAGGGAAAGGGAGAGCGAAATGGAAGCATTAATGATAAGAATCATTCATTGGCTGCCTCCTGGACGACCCACACTGGGGATTGAGCTTGCAACCTAGGCATGTGCCCTGACCGGGAATCCAACAATGACCTCCTGGTTCATAAGTCGATGATCAACCACTGAGCCACACCGGCTGGGCTATTTTGTTGTAATGTACCCCGCGAATCACAGAAGGACACCTCAAGAAGTTGAATTAAAGAGTCACATTTATTGCAATGCGGGACTATGAGATTTGGGGAATAGCCCCTCATAGTGCCAGATTGCAATAAATGTGACTCTTTAATTCGACTTCTTGAGGCATCCTTCTGTGATTTGTGTGGTACATTACAACATTTGGAGGCCCCAGTGAGATGCAGCCCCTTAGGGGTGCTGTTTTGGACATAAAGGGAGGCCGAACCTCCCCTGAGCCATTCGTGGAGACTGAGGGGTCTCTAGGGGGTGCACACCCTGAGAAGTTCTAGGGCCCTGGAGAACTCCCCTTCGGATCCAGCTAGCGGACAGGGGATGTTGGCCCGTCCTTAAAAAAATTTTCATCAGAGTCACCTGGGAAATCCTCTAGAGGTGAGTCTTGGGACTGGTCACTGGTGGTGGATTGTGAGAAGGGCTGGATGCAGCCATAACTTCTCCTTCTTTGGTACCCCTGAGACGTCAGAGGGTACTTCTGGCCTTGGTTTTCTTGGTTTTGTTTTGGTTCTTGTTTGTGAGTCTGTGGGGAGCTGACATAGGGTTAAGCCTCAGACTGACCTGTGGGCAAAGTCACAAACAGGTCTTCGAGTCTTAAGAAACCCAATCCAAGAGGTGGCCGCTGATTTACATGTGCTGTCATTTAAAAAATAAAAGTGGGGGAATTTGCCAGAAGCTGGTCCACCCTTGCTGCTTAACACAGTCGCTGCAGGGAAGAAACATCTGCACAGCTTATGTTTCAAGGTGTAGATGGCACATGTTTGCTCCCCCTCTTAGCGCTATGTATTTTAAACAGGACCACCTCCCTGAGAAAGGTTGTTTCCCCAGGTGGGGATTTTTCCCTGGAGTTAGGGATTAACAGGACTAAGGTGTTGTATGTGTGTTCCCCCCACATCCCGCATGGTTTAGGGTTCCGGATCTGAAAGAGGAGCCGCACACAAATGAAAGAGAAGAGACAAGAGATAATTTGGAAATATTGGGGGGCCAGGCGGGTAAGTCCAACTCAAGGGGAAGGACCTCCACTGGTGCCCAGGCCTCGCCAGCCTTTTATTCAACTTTGGTTAAACATAAAACCCTTGGTCAGGCAGGTAATTGCAGTAACAGACAGGCTATCTTAAAGGTCAGTAAATATTAGAAGGATTTACTCTGAGACTATTTGGTCAGGAAATAGCTTGAGCCCCCATTGTCAGGACTAGACAATCGGTGCATAACTCAGGCCCTGCCGTGGGTTCAAGGCCGATGAGTTCTTTTCCCAAGGTGCTTGCTCTCTGTCAGAGGTGGAACCGGCCCACCTAACAAAATTTCTGTCTATGTTTGTGTACTAGGGACTTGGATGTGCTCTGTGATTTTGCTGTGTTAGGTTGCAATTTTGGAATTCTGGGGTAGATTTAAAGGTATTTGTGGCTTTTCTAGTCTGATTGGGACATTCAGGGGCTCACATCTCCTCAGGACAGAGAGATTTTATGGGCCCCACCCCTTGCCTGTGCTGAATTAAGGGTCTTTTCTTTCAGAAGACCCTCCAGGGTTTTTGTTTGTTGTTTGTTTGTTTGTTTGTTTTTTCATGTGTCAGTACTTTTAATGTTGTATACATAAAATTATAGTAAAAAGACGACTATAAACAAGATGTAGCCCCTCCATTTCCATGGTCAGCTCACTGCATTACAGTACACCAAGTTTATATTCCACCATCAAGTGTGGTTCTCCCATTAGTTCACTTTGTGATGGGTCTGAAAACAAAAAGAAACACATATTAAAGATGCTCGGCAAAAGTTCATTTTTCACACAAGAAAAACCTTTTCGAAGAAGATCGTGACTTTCAAAAGGTCCACTTGCTAATAGCTCAGTAACTGGAATACTGTCCTTTAGCTGAGATCCAAGTCCTCTGCTATTCATCTTTAGCTCAGTCTGCAAACAGCCTCTCCAGCCCGGTAGCGTCAGCCTGCCCCCGACCCTCCAGGTTTTTAGTAAATTTTCCCTGCACCCTTGTCATCCTCTGCCTTCTTTTCCAGGCCGACTAAGAGTCATTTTCCTCCACAGGTCGGACCCCAGCCTCCGGGAGGGAGGGCTACTACAGTGACGGCCTGTAGTTTTCTCTAAAACTCCCGCTGTCTTTTCCTCCCATCTGTAGGAATTGTCTTCCTCTAACTCACAATAGGAAATAATACAGGCCAGTGTCATTTGGCTTGCTGGTTAAAGGAAGAAAACGGGCCCTGGGATCTGTAAAAGTGGCTGGGAATGAAGCTGGTTAATTGTACTGAAAGGGTTCGGTACCTGCTGCTGCTAGCAGAGGAGGGGCTGATATCCCCTTCCAGTGCACTCCCTTGGGAGAGGCCTGATTGCTGCTCTGTCACAGGGGACAGGTACGATGGCAGGGGCCTGGTACCCAACCCACTGCCACAGGAGCGCTTTGTAATATGCAGGGCGTGTTTCCCCTTGGCCCCTCATAGTCCCGGATTGCAATAAATGTGACTCGTTTTTTGTTGTTGTTGTTGTTTCTTTTTTAAATTTTTTTATCTTTTTATTTTTTTAAATGTGACTCTTTAATTCGACTTCTTGAGCGTCCTTCTGTGATTCGAGGGGTGCATCACAACATTTGGAGGCCATTCCCCAAAACTCATAGTGATGAGATGGCCGCAATACCAGATTTATATAGGCAAAGATCGCAAAGGTATTGATTACATCCCAGGGTTTGGAATGAGAAAACTGATTTGCAAAAAGCAGTTTACAGAAGCAAAGCAGCATGTTATCTAAATTATAGTTTTGGGTCTCCAGATCACTGAGTCAACAGGGACACATTAACTGGAGACCTCTGACCTTGGGATAATTGTGATGTTCTTTCAAAAAAAACAGTGACAGAAGCGAGATTGAGCCCATTAGTTATCTACAAAGATTAATTATAGTTTTGGGTCTTGGGACCACTGAGTTGACAGGGACACATTATCTGGAACCCTTGGGTCTTGGGATAATTGTGCTGTCCTGGTTCCCAGGTAAAGGAGAATGTGCTTTCTAAAACCAGTATGACCACAACCCATGGGATATTCACATTACAATCAATAGGGTATTTAATCGAATGGGATAATTTATATAATTCAGAAAATCAAAATAACTTTTCTATTATTTTAGCAAACAAGTAAGTACAGAAACCAAACAGCAGGGTTAAACTATAGTTTCTACCTGAGATGATTGCTACCATACTTCAACTTAATTTTTATTAATTTAAATTTAAGTAGCCACAAGTAGCTAGTGTTTAGCATATTGGACAGAGCAACTTTACAACTATTCTATTCAGTTCCTATGTTTAATCCAAGGGTTACACCTTGGTCATAGTTTGTTCAAAAGGCAATGACACCATTTGAAACCAAAGCATGATCCATCCCTGTGAAGCCTGAGCTGTTAGGTTATCAACTCCACCTATTTCTGGGATGTTTAATATAACTTCCAGGCACGGGAAAGAGGGTTGTCAAAGTTAGATTTTATTCAAAAAGACCATATTAGCACTTTAATCACTCATGTTGGAGGTAGAAGGAAGCTTCTTTCATACTTGCATAGTGAATCTTGTCTGGAAGATAAGGAGAAAAAAGTACCTCACCCATCTCCCCAGAGGCCTGCCCAGAGCAGGCACTGAGAGCCTTCTTCACGCTGTAACTCTTAACAGATCTAACCCAGTCCTAAGGTATCGAGTTTCCTCCTACTAAGCAACCTCTGCTGTAAAGCTGCTTGGCACATCAAAGATTTTTCTGTGCTGCCTCCTGAGATGAGGCCTGGAGAGTTCCAGCCGGTCATGCTTGCCTCAAAAAGTTCTCCATTCTACAGGTTTTCAGAAAAGTGGGAGATTGTGTTGCCCTGTTTTAAAGTGATGTAGCCTGGAATTTCCTATGTTGTACAATTTAAAATACAGCTCCCAAAGCCCTTGACACTTAGTACATTGTTTTATAGGTAATTGTTTACATATCTGCCTCCTGGCTAGACTTTTCATCCATTTATTTATCCAGTAAGTACTGATTGTCTACTCTGTGCCACAACTGTCCCAGGTGCTGGCAACAGAGCAGAGAACAAAACAGACAAGGTCCCCATGAACCTTAGGCTCTAGTGGAGGGAAACTGATAATAAACGAGTAAACAAACACACATGAGAATGTCAGATAGTGGTAAGTGTTATGAAGAAAATAATGTGACAGATAGATAAGGCACCGCTTTTAGACCCTGCGGCCAGGAAAGGCCTCAGAAGAGGGGAAGTTTGAGCTGAGCTCTGAATACAAAGTTGCCGATAAACAGCCTAGGATGGCAGCAGATAGAAAAATCTTATTTACCACTAGAGCAGGCATTATTTTTAAAATTAAGTTTAGAGGAAGGGCAGGATATATCTATAATAATCTATAATAATAAAAGCATAATATGCTAATTAGACCGGACATTCTTCTGGGGGCCCTTCCAGACCACCTTCCGGACAAAGCCAGGGCTGTGAGGGAAGCCTGGGTCCTGGGTGCTAGAGGGAAGCCAGTGCCGGCAGCTGGGGGAAGGAAGACCTACTCTTGCACAAATTTCATGCATCGGGTCTCTAAGATATATATATATATAGTAAGCCCTTACCATGATACTCAGTCATTTTGACTCTGTGTTACAAGAAAGAAGAAATCTCATTCTCCTGAGTCCTGCATGATGCCTAAAGAAAACACCTTGACTAATCCCTCAGGACTAGCATTCTCCCACCCACCACCACCCGAAGTCTAGTTTTAACCTAACCTAGAGACAACCTGATATCAGACAGCTCCAGGGACATCAGGCCCTGTTTATCAGTTCAGCTAAGGTCTGGAGTCAGCCTCAAGATTTGGCTCCTCTGCTGAGCAAACCTGAAGTACACTCAGGACCGCTGAGCTAAGCCAACCACCCTCTCCTCCAAACCCCCACACCCCTAAAGCAGGCCTAGCCTTGTAAGTTAGTTCTTCAACTCCCCCTCCTGAGGGGAAGAGGCAGGAGCTGGGGATCTTCCAAACTGTGAGAGACCTGGGATTGAGCCACATCTTCCTGGAAACTAGGTTGGGGAATCTCCAGAGCAAAGGATTTGCATCGCTTAGGTTTAGGGTTGACAGATAAAATACAGCATGCCAAGTCATTGAAGTATGGTAGCAATCATACTTCATGAAGTATAGTTTCTACTTGAGGTAGAAACTATAGTTTAACTTTAACCCTGCTGTTTGGCTTCTGTACTTATTTGCTTTGTTTAACAATAGAAAAGTTACTTTGATTTTCTGAATTGTATAAATTATCCCATTCGATTGAATGCCATATTGATTGTAATTTGAATATCCCATTGATTGTGATCTTACTGGTCCTTTGTGATCTTTGCCTATATAAATCTGATGTTGGGGCTGGGGAGGGCACTATGAGATCTGGGAGAGCGAAATGCCCCCTCATAGTCCCTGATTGCAATAAATATGATTTTTTAATTCAACTTCTTGAGGCGTCCTTCTGTGATTCACGGGGTACATTACAACATTATGTCCCAAATATTACATGGGACATACTTGCTCTATAAAAGTATTTGTTGGCCCTGGCCAGTTTGGCTCAGTGGATAGAGCTTTGGCCTACAGACTGAAAGGTCCCGCCTGGGTTCGATTTCCATCAAGGGCACATACCCAGGTTGGGGCCTCAATCCCCAGTTGGGGGCAAGCGGGAGGCAGCCGATCAATGATTCTCTCTCATCATTGATGTTTCTATGTTTCTCCCTTTCCCCTCCTCTCTGAAATCAATAAAAAAATAAAAAAAATTAAAAGTATTTGTTGTTTGCCTGAAATTCAGCTTTAACTAGGCGTGCTGTTCTTTATGAAACCTGGCAGTCTACTTAGGGTACAGGCCCTTGGTAGGAACATTTAACCAGTGGTGTGGTCTCTACAAATATCATAAGCCTCAGATTAGAAAGGACACCAGGGGAGGACTTCCGAGGACAGGGAGCTATATAATAGGGAGGCCCAGACAGTGTGAGCGCCTGGGGGGTGGTGGGGGGGGGGGGTCCTGTCACTTTCTGATCTTGAGAGCACGAGGGCTGGTGAGCTCCCATGAGGGACTCGCTGGTTTCGGTACTACTCGCCTCCCTGACTGTCTCCCAAATGTGTGCCCAGAATTACGGTCCTATTCTTCGAGACCCGGAGACCACTCTGCCTGCACCTGTGCCGAGTCCCCGCCACCCGCCACCCACCGAGGTTCAAGGCCAGAGTCCCGGTACCGGGGCCCCGCCTCCCCGTCCCGCGCTGGCCCCGCCCCACTTTGTTATCCGACCCTTTGCTAGGTCAGCTGGTGCTGGCGTCAGGCAGAGGGACGGGCTGGCTCGGCTCGACCCGGCAGGGCTTGTTTACTATGGCTGATGATCTGGAGCAGCAGTGAGTTAACCCCGTCTCTTTCTCTTTCTCTGTCTCTCTCTGGCCCATGATCCTGGGACTGTCTGTGGCTGAGGAACACTTTTAGACATCTTCCTGCCTTTCCTGTCTCAGGTCGGCCTCATGGGAGGGCTGGGGGCTGCCTGTGCTCGCTTTGCTTTTGCCCAGAGGAGGCGGCGGCGGAGCCGGGGGAGCGATGGGAAATGAGTGAGCCTGCATGCAGCTCCGAGATTCGAACTTTGCACGTTGGTCTCCGCGATCGCTCCTCCTTCTCCTCTCCCCGCTGTGCTCGGGGATTAGATTCCGTGGGAATGTCTGAGATCCACCGAAGCATGCTGGCGGGATGCGGTTGCGGGGGTGGCAGCCAGGTCCGCCAGCCTGGACTGGCCCTGGTTTGGACGTCGGGGGTGGAAAGAGCCTCATTTCGCAGGGCACGGAGAGGGCACGGGAAGAGGAGAAAGGCCGCCGCCGCGCTGGAATTGGTCTGCTTAGAATAATGAATGGGCTTGCAAGCTTTCTTTCGTTCTCACCCGCCGAAACACTTTGCAGCTTGCGACCCTCGTTGATAATGTTTTTAATCATTATAAGTATCTTTTTTGCTGTAGTCTCAAAATTAGAGCTCTTGGGACTTGTTACCACTGCCTCAAGGGCATCGGGTTTGGGGCGCCACCTGTAGCTGGTGTGGTTAGCCATTTGCAGTCTCTAGGAGCCAGGCAAAGTTGCTTCCAGAAGAATGACTCAGCTCCCAGACAAGCCTCGGTGTCACTAGCTCCAGTCCTTTTGTGGGTCCCGCGGTTCCCCCTTTTCAGACCAGCACAACTGGCAGTTTGCAAAAGGAATTAACTTTATGACAATAGTAGCTTCCTGTGCTTGAAGAAGCTGCCCAGGAGAGTTGCTCTCTAAGATAACTTTTCCAAGAACTGTACAGTAGCTACAGCGACTTAGGGAAACAATATTAGAGCCGGTTGAGATGCAGGTAGTTCAGCTCTTTTTTACAGACGAAGAAGTCAGTGCCCATAGTAGTTAGAAGACTTGCCCAAGATCACAGACCCCGCACAGAGCCTCTTCTGCCTTACCTCTGTTCGGATAAAAATGCTCTAGAGCAGTGGTTCTCAACCTTGGCTGCACATTAGAATCACCTGGGGATCTTTTTAAAATTTAAAATCAGTATTGTAAAAAGATTGCCAGGTGATTCTAATGTGCAGCGAAGGTTGAGAACCACTGCTCTAGAGGGAAGAGACCATCCTGGCCAGCCCAAGCTCATGGCTAAGTGGCTTTTCTTCTCTTTGCCTGAGCCCCCCTATCCCCTTCCCTCACCTCCCCAATTGTATTAATCAGATTCAGTGTGCCAGACAATATTTCCAGTGCTTTACCTGCAACATTTTAGGTGAAGAAGAGAGGCAACGTAAAACTCCCCTGAATACCTGCTGAGCAGCCCATAGTGCTGTTCCACGGAACAACATTTCTCCTGAGTGCTGCAGTGTGGGATCCAGATGCTTCAGGCTTACAAGGAATTCCAGTGGAAAATTGAAAGGGTTATGAGTCTCCATAGGATTTGGTTGATGAAACTGACAACTCTCATCTGGCTATAATGTCATTGATATACCACTCTCGGGTGCAACCTCAGTATTTCAAACCTCAAACAATCATTGTGACTTGCTACTTGCAAAACAGCTTATGATTAAGCTGGGGGAAACATTTATTGGGAATTTTATTTTGTGCTAGACTTTATTCTATGTATTTGAGGTGCATTAACTCATTTAATCTTTATAACAACCCTGTGAGGTAGGTACTGTTATTACCGCCCTTTTAAAGGGGAAAGTTTGACACAGAAAGTGGAAGTCATATTGCTGGTAAGTGGCAGTGCCAGGATTAGAAATCTGGCCTTCTGCCTTTAGATCACACCTCCTTTCAGAAAACAGAGACCAGTGTGAAAATTATGTCCTATAACCGTAAGTATTCGTGTATGACCTTGGAACGCCAAGGGTGGAACTTCCAGAGAAGTACAGAGAAACCTGGATTGCAAATCTGGGTTTTCTAGTTCTGCTTCTTTTTCTCACTAGCTGTCTGACCTCTTTGGGCATCGGTTTGGTCATCTGTAAAATAAAAGAAACTGGGCTAGATGATTTCTAAGGGCCATCCTTATCTAAAGCTCTGTGCTTCAACTGATGTACCAGGATGCCCAGTGTGTGCCGGGGGGATGGGGGGGGTGGCAGTGGTTCCTCTCATTCTCCCACAGAATGCTCTGTGTGACTATACCCATGTCCACAGGCCTTTCCTACAGCTGGTGTGTCCATCCCATAATCCTCTTCACCCAGAAAAGAGAAATGTCATATGCGATGGAAAAGAAATAATAAAAACTCATTCATTGAGCATCTAATTTGTACCAGGCACCTTATAAGTTCCCTTACATATATAAATGCTCAAAGACAGGCTGTTCATCAGGCCAAAGTCATTCTGCTCGAAAATGATAATACCGTGACTCAGATCCAAGGTGTGTGTTTTTTTAATTCCAAAGCTGGTGCTTTCGACTTCTACTCTGCAATGACTTAAAGTCCTGTGGATATGAAGGAGAAAGCAGAATAGCGTATCTTATCTGTTTTATTGCCTGCTATGGGAGATAAGACCTATGTGAGTTTTTTACTCATTTTATAATCTGGAGAACAAGGCCAGAGGCAGCCTGTGTCCAGCCGGTGATTCACCGCAGGACTTGAACCCAGGTCTCCCATCTCTTGCTCCCTGCCTATCCCATCTCGTCAGAGCCCAGCTGGGCACTGACAGTGCTCTGTACTTCCAGGGGCTTGAAAGAGGGCACACACAAACTGCAGTGCCCTGCCAGGAGGGCAGGTGGCATGGGAGCTTGTCCTATTCTAAAGGAACATTCAGTCCTGAGGATAGCAAAAGATAACTGAAAGCATTAGTTAAAGGTGGGTTTGTCCCCCTTATAATCTCTTGAAACACGAAAACCAGTGGCAAAAGGGTTTGTAAAGCTCACATGAGATCAATGTGAAAGTGCTTTGTAAACTGTAAAGTGCTGTGCACATGATATTCTGAGCATCTTTGAAACAAAGAGCATGTTGTTAATAGCCATTTACCAGAGAAGAGTAACAGTCTATCAGGCCGAGGGAATTGCTGACTGCCATAGTGGGAGGTCTCCTGAGCCTGGAAAACACCCTGTACCCTGATAACTCTTTTGTATCTGTCGGCAAGGCTCAGGGCATCAATGTTTCCTTTCCAATGTTGCCAATGAGCATCTCTGTGTCTCTTTGTCCCAGGCCTCAAGGCTGGCTGAGTAGCTGGCTGCCGGCTTGGCGCCCCACTTCGATGTCTCAATTGAAGAATGTGGAAGCCAAGATCCTCCAGTGTAAGTAGAGGGGACAGCTTGAGCCACCTCCCCCAGGAAGCCTAAGGAGGATATGGGATCTTCCCAGAGCCTGGTACACTTAGCCCACTGACTCCTGATAAAAAATGTTTGGGGGTGGGAGGAAAGGTTGTCAGTGATCTAAGGGAAGAGATTTAGACAGAGGACACTGAATTCTATGATAATGGTTCCTCAGTGTCGCCCTCCCTGTCCATCATGTAGTTCCTGCCACATCCCACAACTTCACCTCCAACCCTGTACGAACTATGAGCACACAACACACACAAATACACATATTCTCTCCTTTCCTTCCTTCTTTCTTTCTCCCTGTCTGTTCTTCCAAACACACCAGCACTTCTTAGATTTACCACCTTGCTACCCAAGGACCAGTAAAGAAGTCCTATATTCTCTAATATTACTATTTCCCCCACCACTTCTCTGGTTTGAGACAGGAGTTTCCCAGAGACCAGCTCCTGGGCAGTGTTATAGTGGGGCAGGGCATCCCATGAGCATCAGCAGCCACTGGCTCAACCAAGGCCCTTGGGCCACATCTCCCTGTTTTCCTCTTATCTTACCTGCCCTGTTCTACTTCCCCAGCCATGGCTCACCTCTTATGGGCCTGAGTAAGTACAACTGAAGAATAGCCACAGCTTTCAAGCTTTTGTCCAGGATCCAAGTCACTTTCCCCGGGCAGCTCTGTCATGTAACTGCCTTCACACCAGCAGAGCAAGCACTGCCCACCTGGGTCTGTCTCTAAGAGGAATAAGCCGGTGGCTCAGTTCACACCTGTCACACCCTCCGCCTGTCTCAACTCCAGTTAAAAGCCCTCCTCCCAGATACCCTCAGTGAGGACACTTCTGTCATTCTGTCACGCCCCAAGCACACAGGTACAAGAGCAATGGGTGCAGGCGCTCTGTAGGTTGGTAGAGTCACTGCCACCCTGTGCCCAAAGGGAGCCAGGCAAACAGACTCAAGGAATAAAATGGCCACTCTTATTACCTATAGAGTAGATGGTCTACAAATTGTACTCAGAGTTTAACTCTGGGGGTGTATGGTGAGAGGGATATAAAAAGGAAAGCGGTGAGGGCGGTCAGGGAGGTTTGAGAACGGAGGGACAGATCATCCAGGCAACATGACGATGCTGTCAGAAAGCAGACGTATTGCTCGCCCCAAATCTCCTCTCCCCAGGTCTCCAGAACAAGTTCCTGGCCCGGTATGTGTCTCTCCCAAACCAGAACAAGATCTGGACAGTGACCGTGAGCCCCGAGCTCAGGGACCGCACCCCTTTGGTGATGGTGCATGGCTTTGGGGGTGGCGTGGGCCTCTGGATCCTCAACATGGATTCACTGAGTGCCCGCCGCACACTGCACACGTTTGATCTGCTTGGCTTCGGGAGAAGCTCCAGGCCAACGTTCCCGAGGGACCCAGAAGGGGCCGAGAATGAGTTTGTGATCTCAATAGAGACGTGGCGGGAGACCATGGGGATCCCCAGCATGATCCTCCTAGGGCACAGTTTGGGAGGATTCCTGGCCACTTCTTACTCTATCAAGTACCCTGAAAGGTAAGAAGGACCCGCCCTCTGGGTCATTATCCAACTCCTTGCCTCACTGGGAAGCTTCCGGTATTGGTTTCCAATACAGTGGGGCCTTGACTTACGAGTGTCCCGACTAACGAGTTTTTCTGAGATACGAGCCGTCTCTCGGCCGATTTTTTGGGGTTACGAGCCAGCTTCAGATACCCCACCGCTAGTTGGCGCAGCGAACGTCACAGTGATTTGACATACGAGTAATTTGAGTTATGAGCTCCATCATGGAACAAATTAAACTCGTAAGTCAAGGCCCCACTGTAGTTCTCTTTTTCCTGGGTGATTTAAGGGCTATGGTATCTCCAAGCAAATACAGCTTTTCCTTTGTCCTCCTGTAGAGTTAAACACCTCATCCTGGTGGACCCATGGGGCTTTCCCCTCCGACCGACTGACCCCAGTGAGATCCGTGCACCCCCAACCTGGGTCAAGGCTGTGGCCTCTGTCCTAGGGCGTTCCAACCCACTGGCTGTTCTTCGAATAGCTGGGCCCTGGGGTGAGTAGCCTACAGATATAGAAACTATCTCCTCAAACCAAGGGTATCCCATGCTAGAAGCCCCACTGCTTCTGGACTCCCATCATCCTCGCTTGTTCTTGGAAAGTGGGAATGGACCTAGCATTGTTATTTTAAGCTATTAATCTGGACCAGGTTTCTTTGTCTGTAGTTTCAGAAGGTTCTTTTTTTCTTCCATTTTCTTTGTCTGCAGTTTCAGAAGGTTCTTTTTTTCTTTCATTTGCATGGAAGAAAGCTTTCCTATGCAAGGGACAGATGGAGCAGAACTACTACTCTGTGCCTTGGTTAGACCGAGAGAGAGAGAGAGAGAGAGAGAGAGAGAGAGAGAGAGAGAGAGAGAGAGAGAGAGAGAGAGAGAGAGAGAGAGAGAGAGAGAGAGAGAGAGAGAGAGAGAGAGAGAGAGAGAGAGAGAGAGAGAGAGAGAGAGAGAGAGAGAGAGAGAGAGAGAGAGAGAGAGAGAAAGAAAGAAAGAAAGTGACCATGAGGTGACTCTTCCTCCGCTGAATTCTTATGCTACCTGTGTGAGTTTATGGCAACCTGTCGGCGATTCAGCGTGGTAACCACCACTGGCTCCCACCTCTGCAGCTCACCCAGCACCTGCAGCAGGGAGATGTCAGAACCAGAGCCTCCAACACAACCCACAGTGTCAGGCAAGCCCCTCGAAACCTTGCCCTGCTCCAGTCAGATACCACATCTTCACCACTTAGTAGCTGTCAGCAAATTCTGTGGCTGAAGGGAGGGAAGGCGTTCCGAGGGAACCGGCCAGAGGAAGTGAAATCAATAGGCCCCAGGCTTCTGACCTCACCCTGCCAGCACCCTAACTTTCTGGGGAGCTTTTTACTCTGATGGAGTGAAAAGCACATGCCCTTTATGGGAATGGTTGGTGACCCTCTGTCTTACACTATCGGCTGATGTGTACATGGTAATGTTCAATAGCCAATTATTGTGAGTTCATTGCAAACGGCTAAATAAGAGTTATCTCTCTGGGCCAGGGGTGGGCAAACTTTTTGACTCGAGGGCCACAATGGGTTCTTAAACTGGACCGGAGGGCTGGAACAAAAGCATGGATGGAGTGTTTGTGTGAACTAATATAAATTCAAAGTAAACATCATTACATAAAAGGGTACGGTCTTTTTTTTTTTTTTTTTTAGTTTTATTCATTTCAAACAGGCCGGATCCGGCCTGCTGGCTGTAGTTTGCCCACGGCTGCTAGGCCCTTCATGAGAAACAGAGGGGTCTGGATAAAAGGGAAATATGAGCATTTGAGGAGAAGGTAGGAGTTTAGGAGAAGCTCAGCTCTTACCACGCTCCCTGTTTTTGGACTTGGCATCTGGCAGGGTTCGTGCATGGGCATCAGAGCTGTGTGGTTGTGGCAGTTGGCTGACAGCCACGGAGGAGGCCAGGGCCCAGCGGATCCTGGCTGTGCCGCCCTCTGACCCCTGGCTGCTTACATGCAGAGGGAAGACCAGAAGGGAAAGGCCCGGTGTTGACCAGTAGGCCCCAATTTTGACAGTCTGTTTTGGGTGCCCTGCTGCTTGTTTATGAACTATATAAAGAAGGTGAAGAGAACAGATTGCTCTAAAACTGCCCGAGTCTGAGATGCCAGGGTTAAGCTTGCCTCTCCACTCATATTATGTTACAGGCCTGAATATGACCAGCCTCTTGGGAGATGGTCTAGTTTCACTCACTACCTTAAGATTAAAAGGTTGTAAGGGTCCCAGGAATAGGAGAAATAATGTTGTTGAAGCATGCACAGGCAGGAGTCTTTCCCCCACCACCCAAACTGGCCCCTCCATGCTCTCCTGTCCCCTCCCAGGGCCTGGCTTGGTGCAGCGATTCCGACCAGACTTCAAGCGCAAGTTTGCAGACTTCTTTGAAGATGATACTATATCAGAGTATATCTACCACTGCAACGCACAAAACCCCAGGTAAGAGCAGCGCCCAGAGCCAGCGCCAGGTGGACAAGATAACACGAAAACTGCAGAACTGTCACAGGATCGTTCTGTGCTGTGTTTCTTCTTCCACAAAGTTTTCATTCAGTTTGGGCAGCGATTTTCCAACCTCCATCTCATGGCATACATAAACTAATTACTAAAATTCTGCGGCACACCAAAAAGTATATTTTTTGCCAATCTGACAAAAAAAATAGGTATAATTTTGATTCATGCATACTGGATGACTACTGTTGTGTTGGCTGTTGTCATTTTTTTTTAATTTGATAATCTAAGAGAAAAGAGGTCAGTGTCCCTGACTACACAGTCAGGTATTGCATGTTTTAAAAATTCTTGCAGCACATCAGTTGAAAGTCACTGAGTTAGGAGAACAGAGGTGTTAGCAGGCTTGATCGTTTCCAGAGACTTCCCCAGGGGTAGGCACAAAGAGATGGAGAAGATAACATTAATTAAAATTGCCACTGTCTCTACAGGTGACCCTTACTCTTCTGTAGAGATAGGCGGTTATCCTGACAGGCAAGAGTCTGGAAAACATTTGAAAAGACTGGGTTGTTTTTTTTTTACTAAAAGATGATATGAATACGGTATTTTTACAAAGCAAAAAGAAAGAAGTCTTTGCCTGTCCCAGACTTGTAATTTCCAACTTTCCTTGTTACTGCCAGACTGATATATCACGTGACAACTTCAGAGAACTTCCTTGCATGTCTCCCTCTGCACACACATGACTGTCTATAGCAGCGGTTCTCAACCTGTGGGTCGCGACCCCTTGGGGGTCGAACGACCCTTTCACAGGGGTCGCCTAAGACCATCGGAAAACACATATGTAATTACATATTGTTTTGTGATTAATTACTATGCTTTAATTATGTTCAATTTGTAACAATGAAATTGGGGGTCACCACAACATGAGGAACTGTATTAAAGGGTCGCGGCATTAGGAAGGTTGAGAACCACTGGTCTATAGAGTACGTTCCTACAAATAGAATCGCTGATTGAGAAAGTACCTATTTTAAAATTTAATCATGTGTGCCTTGAAGTATTGTTGGGACAGGAATTCTTTCCAAATCTTTTGGAGATTTCCGGGTGTCCCCAGAATCTTGAGAGGCTCAGGTCTGTGACTGCTCACCCAGCAGCCCCCATAGGCTTGTAGCTGACAGCCAGGGCAGAGTCTGGGAGGTAATCTTCCCCTCAGGCCCTGCTGTGTGAGTGGCTGATACCAGGAGGCACCGCCTCTGTGGTGGCCTCACCCTGAGCTGCTGGGAGGCATCTCAGGGGAGCCAAGTTCACTGGGAGCCACAGCTCTGCCCCGCCTCATTCCAGGCCTGTCCAGGTCGCTGTTGTGAGCCAAAGCTGTGAAGAAGGAGGGGATTTGCATTCCATCAGTACTGTCTGAGCATTAGCCTCAAACCCAGACAGCTTTCAGGCAGCGTGGGAACTGTCCATTCAACATTCCTCATGAGCACCGCTAATTGAAGGGCGCTGCTTAGGCAGCAGTATAGAAACTCAGCTCAACAGTCAAATCAGGTAGCCCCCTGCTTTCTGCTCTCTACCCGTCTTTCAGCCCCTCTGGGCTCAGCGCCAGTCTCATACCCACTTGAGGCCCCTCACGCACAGTCCTAGCCCTTTCCTCAGAATGTTCCCCAGCCTCAGAACTCGTTCTGCATAATGCATGCAGACCCTTGCAGACCCCTTACAGACCATGATATGGCCTCAATTAGCTCTACCTAAGGAAATGACCAGGAAAAAGCAAAGTAGATCTGATTGGCAGTCCTTGCTTCTCGCACAACACAAACTGCTGCTCCCCCAGGTCTTCACATGACTGTTTTATTCACAGTCTCCTCAGGAAACTCTTTGTACTACCATAGCACTCCCTCTTGAGACTCCACCCCCAATGAACTCCTGACCTTCTCCCTCCACCCCCCGCCAGCTAAGTCCTTAGTCTGGGTTCTCATAGCACGCTACTACCCTTTCATAATTCTTGGGAAATGCGTAGTTAATGAATCATGTAATTCATTACTTAATGCCTAAAGTGTGAGCTGAAATGTGACTTGTTCATATGTCCCCCCACTCAGGTTAGGGCATGACACATGAATATTTTTTGAATAAATATTAACCCATTGCATTCTTGGACAATACTCAGTGTCCTAGGGGTTTTCACAAGTGTATCCCTCTAACTCTGTTTTGTGTTAAGAGGCCTCTAGAGATTCAGTCCTTTCTTCTAATCTTAACAATATTTAGTGAGTCTCAAACCCAGGGTTTGAGAGCAATACCAAGATGATGAAGATACTGCCCCAGCCTCTGAAGAGACCAACAGTTTGACATTTTATGCTGCGGCGTTTATTCTAATTGCCTCACCCTGTTTTGCTTCTTAGTGGTGAGACGGCCTTCAAAGCCATGATGGAGTCCTTCGGCTGGGCCCGGCGCCCCATGATAGAACGAATTCACTTGATTCGAAAAGATGTGCCCATCACCATGATCTATGGGTCCAACACCTGGATAGACACCAGCACAGGGAAAAAGGTGAAGCTGCAGCGGCCGGATTCCTATGTCCGAGACATGGTACGTTGGCCACCAGAGGAGCAGAATTGGGGTGGAAAAGCTGAGCATTGAATGCCAGCACATGTTGGTTGACTCTCGGCAAGGATGAGCAACGCGGGGTAGAGAGGGTGATGGAAGAGTCAGCAGGGAAAAGAGGGATGAACCGATTGAGATGAGACAGTGGACTTGAAAGGCTTGGCTTTTTGTCATTTCATAATTAGGAGGCCTCTCACTTCTGTTCTTATCCAGTAGCCAGACATCATGCTACCTCTCCTGTAATTCCCACTCAAAACCAGAGCTGTGAACAGGAGAGGGAATAGTAGAGACTGACATGAAGCCTTCCTACCACGCTCCTGCCTTCCCTTTTTTCTTCCCCCCTCAACCCTCATGAGTGTGCTTAATTAGGCTGGCTGCCTATTGGGCCCTGGTTTACTGGGCCTGTGGGTCAAATGAGCAGATCGGTGGTGGGGCTAGCATGGAAGGCAAGATACAGTGAATGGTCATGGGAGAAGGAAAATGGGATATTGAGAGTCGTTGGCTCCTACAGGAAAGTGCCAGGATCCAGGGAGAAAAGTGGACCATGGTTTCTGACAAGTGCTCATGGGTGATAGGCAAGCAGGTCTAAAGGAAAAGAAATGGTTTGACAGCTCTCCAGTGCCTGGAATGAAGGGCTGTCCCATCATGGCGGTTCCTTTCTTCACAGGAAATCGAGGGTGCCTCGCACCACGTCTATGCAGACCAGCCACACATCTTCAATGCGGTGGTGGAAGAGATCTGTGACTCGGTTGATTGAGCTGCTCTCGCTAGAGGAAGCGGAGAAAGCCAGAGAGGCGCTCTCACCTCCCTGGCTGCTTACTCACCCTCTGTCCTTTCCTCAACTAACATGTGCCAGCCAGTCAGAGTCTTGGGCTGTTCCCAAGGCAAGAACACAGTGAAAAGTACTCCTGACCCCAGGCTGAGGGCTGGAGGCAGAAGCTCCAACAAGGCCTTGAGCTTCCCGCCCCCGGGGAAGAACATAAAGGGTCACTTAGTGCCACCCCATTCTCCTCATGCCAAGCGTTACCCAGATAGTGGTTGTGAAGGGTCTGTACTGAACCACGTCCCCTCCCTGCCGAAGGGAGGGCAGCCTCTCTACCCCTGGACAGAGCAGAGGCCCCCACAGTCTTTCCTAGCTCTGGAACGTTTCTGGGGGTAGGTTCCACAAAAGAACATCCTCCTCCTCCACCTTCTTGCCCCTCCCATGCCAGTGTCCAAGGTATGGTTGGTACCAGTTCCCACTGAGCTACCAAGAGCAGGTTCTGGAGAACCCCTTGTTCTTCAGAGTCTCTCCCATGACCTGAGAGGTCATAGCCAAAGCCCTCATTAGCAGATGAGGAGCAGGCCAGGGCAGGACGTGGCTGGCCCATGGTGATATAGCTCTGTTCCAGAAAAGCTCAGGCTAGAACCCAGGTCTGCTGACACCCGGTGATGGTGCAGACTCCATTTTCAAAGGTTCGAGGCAGGCACCATTGCCATGGAGTAACTGGCCAAGGGTAAGCCCATCCCTGCCCACATTCCAGCCCCATTGCACAGGGGTGCTGTTGTCCTGCCCTGTGTCTCAGCCCTGGCTGCCTAAGCCAGGAACACTCAAGTGCTTCCTTCCCTGCCCACTCTTCCCCCGAACAGGGAGGCCTCTGGGCCTCCCTCTGTGCCTTGGGCCCTGAAGCCCCACCTGTAGTACAGAGCAAAGGTGGCCCCTGATGGAGAGAGGAGGGAAAGGCTCTTCAACCAAGGGCCAGCTCTGGATTCCCCTGCCCCCGGCAAGATTTTTCTTCCTATTCCCAGAGCTGAGGCCACCTGGAGCCCCTACCCATGGTCCAGTGTGGAGTCTCATGCCAGCAGTTTCCTGTCCTCATCAGCCACAGGATGGTTCTCACTGCCTGGCCCTCTGCCCCTGCCATCTGTCCTCCGTGATCTCCAGTTCACCCGCTCAACCCAGCTGTCATCCTCTCCAAGGACTGGTTCCAGGTGCTCCTGCGAGGTTCCGGGCAGCAGGCTGGACCTGGCCCCAGAACCAGGACAGCTCCTGCCTGCTCCTTCTCTTTTGTAAAGCCAACCCTTTCACCAAAATAGTATTAACTCACCGTGCTTTGTACTACTGGTCCAGCTGCCTTGGGCTCTTTTTCTACATTAATAAAGAAATGAGTAAAAACTGCTGGTGGTGATGATGTTTAGTATTGGTCGACAGGAGTACTGGGAGTGGTGCTGAATTCACAGCAGCCCATGTGATGCCTGAGTCAGAGAAGGGGCCCTGAGGGCTTCCCACTCACACACCTTTCCCTTTCCATTTAGCCCAGCATTTGCCCTCTAGACCATGGGTGGGCAAACTTTTTGACTCAAGGGCCACAATGGGTTCTTAAACTGGACCGGAGGGCCGGAACAAACTAATATAAATTCAA